GGGTTCCAACTAACAAGGAAGTGGGATTGAAAGTGGATGTCAATTCTAAAGTAGACCGATATGGTCTATGTAACACCCTCGCCGTAAGTGTTATTAAAAAATGCCCTCTTAATGAGGCTTTTTCTCCTATTTATAAGAATAAACAAGCACGTTCCATTGCTACTGTCCATCTTAAGTCATTCGTCCGGCCAGTCTTCAATCGGCTAGTCTTCGTGCCTTCTGCGGATGGACTCGCGATTTCTCAATTCTGACCCCTAACATCCGCTCGGTCAGACTACTGGGTTTGACCTGATCTTGAGGGGCCAGACTTCGGTACCTCCCGGGCGCCTGTGAACCTCCCGGGTGGTACCAATGGGTTATACCCATCAATCATCTTTCAGTGACTGTCCGTTCGGATCTGAGGGCTCATCCTTTGGATTTTCAAGTAACTTTATCGTTTTTTACTGTCTCTTGAGTCTTGAGTGACTTCCTCCCGTACGATTAGGGGTGAGCAAATTAACCGGACCGACCGCGAAACCAAAAACCGAAATAACCGAAAGTTTGGTTTCGGTTTCGATTTTCATGTAAAAAATATTTTCGGTTTTTCGGTTTTTTGGTCGGTTTTCGGTTTTTTGTAAGAAAAAACCGAACCGACAGAATAACTGATGATTTTATTTTAATTTATTTTTTATTTTTTAGAATAAGAAAATATATGATTAACACACATGCTTTCTTCTTACTATTTCATGAAAAACTTTAATATTTCACTTTTAAACAAAAATTATTTGTTAATGTTTTGAACATATTAATAAGAAAAGCGCAATTTTTATATGAAATGGATAGTGTATATTCAAATAAAAATTAATCTACCTTACTAAATTAATGAAAATAGAAAAGTCTTAATCTAAACTAATTTAATACATATTAATCTACATTAATTAGTTTTTTGAATTTATATTAAAAAGTCAAAATAAAAGTAATTAAAATTTGGTTTTTCGGTCGGTTTTTTTGATGAATGGGCGGTTTTTGGTTTCGGTTCGGTCGGTTTTAGTTTACGATCAGTTCGTTTCGGTTGGTTTTCAACCATGTTAAAAAAAAATCTGTTTTTTCTGATTAAAACCGAAACCGACCGGTCGGTTTTAGTTTATGATCTGCCAGTCTGGCACCATATCCTGCCGGCTGCCGGAGTGGCCTCATTTTTGGGGGGATAATTTATTTTTATCTCAGCTGCCTGAGCAATAATTTCAAAAAACCAAACGGACAGGGGGTGATGTTGCGAAGTTTGAATTTCATTCATCCCCCAAAAAATAAAAAAATGATATTCAGACAATAATGATTGCCATCAAAGTCCGCACAATACATTAACTATGTCCTCCTAAAGAAGAAGAAGAAGAAGAAGAAGAAGAAGAAGAAGAAGAACTCTGCACAATCTTGAATTATTGATTCCTCAGCTTTCTGCAATTCAATGGCGGCGGCTGCTATTAGAAGCAACTACTTGAGGAAGAGAGGAGTTTCCATATCCAGCTGCAGAATCTGCCATGGCCGCCGTTTCTTCACAGCAGGCGGCCAACGATCTCCGGACACCCATTCATCATCATCTTCATCATCATTTGCACAGAGATTAAGGGATCTTCCCAAGGACTTCCCTGCCACTAACATCAAGAAGGAAGTCTCTCAGGTTCATTTTCTTATCTGTGTTGGTTTCTTCAGAATTAGTTGTCCATTTTCCATATCCAATGAATAAGTTTTGATCAATTGTCTTAGATATCCAAGAGAGGTAAGATATGAGTTGATACTTGATATGGATGGGTGACAAACTCATTTACTTATTTGGTTATCCGGGGACGGGTGGGAGTGACTTTTGTGGAGGATAAATTGATGGAAGTTAGGGTAAGGTGGTTTGGGCACGTGAAACGGCAGTTACGAGACCGTGATGCGGAGATATGAGAGGCTTTAGGTGGCCCCATCATCTCCGGTGGAGCCAAAGATTCACTATTTTTGGGCTTTGTGTATGATGAATAAAGCAATATAACTCTTTGAGCTGTCGACACTTCTTTTAATTGTGAAGTTGTTGTTAGTCTATGCAGCTTTCAACGCTCATCTTGACATCATAGGTCCTCTAGAAACAATCGCTCTATGTTTTAAACATAAGGGGTCAGGTTGCGTTCACCGACCCCGCCATTACGTGCATTGGGCCGGAGCCTTTGAGGCACTGGAGTAATGTTGTTGTTGTTGTTTTTGTTAGAGAATTAGTTGTCCAATTTCTGTATTCAATAAATAAATTATAGTTAAACATCCTAGAGATACGATATGAGTTGATATGGATGAGTAACTCGTTCACTTGTTTGGTTAAATTTATATCATAAAAATGAGTTTTTTAAGAATTTCAGATTATTTGACTAAAATTCTCCTTAATTCAATTTATTTAAATATTGATGTAGAATTAGAATAAATAAAAGTTTAAAATTATATAAATATTTTTACAAAACAAGATGTGACGTGACTTTTATTTTATCAAATGAGCAATAAAAATAATTAAAATAATGTGACTCTATATAATTTAATCGTGTAGATTGTAACGAGAAAGATTAAAAAAGGGGGGGGGGTATAATATTGAACTTCTAACATCAATTGTCTGCTATAAAATGAATGTTATATATTTCATGTGCCAGCTGATTGGGAGGACACCTCTTGTTTACCTCAACAAAGTTACAGAAGGTTGTGGTGCATATATAGCTGTAAAGCAAGAGATGATGCAACCTACGGCAAGCATCAAGGATCGGTATTGTGCCCATTATTCCTTTTGGCTTCAGTTCTTTGAGAGTATAAATCTTTTCATGAGCCTACAACCATAAGCTTGAGCTTTTGCTACCAGACCCGCAATGGCAATGATTGCTGATGCAGAAAAGAAAGGTTTGATCGCACCTGGTAAGGTAAGAACATGCAGAATTCCATCGCTTTTAAAATCATTTTAATTACAAATTGGTATTGAAATAAAAACTATAAATTATACCGTTCAAAAGTAAATAAAAAAATTCTATACAAAAGTTATCGTGAGGCCGCAATAGTGACAGTGGTATCAATTTTGGGATGGAAGGAGCATATGAATATGAACTACTTACATATAAGGCTTTGTCGTGCTCCCTTGTAGACAACGTTGATTGAGCCGACATCCGGGAATATGGGGATCAGCATGGCATTCATGGCGGCGATGAAGGGGTACAAAATGGTGTTGACAATGCCCTCATATACAAGCATTGAGAGAAGGGTGACAATGAAAGCATTTGGGGCTGATTTAGTCCTTACAGACCCAACCAAAGGAATGGGTGGAACTGTGAAGAAAGCTTATCAGCTTCTGGATTCCACACCTGATGCTTTTATGCTCCAACAGTTCTCTAATCCTGCAAATTCCCAAGTATTCTCTCTCTCTCTCTCTCTAAATTCTTTCTAGTTCTAGATTAAAAAAACTGATGTTTGAATGGATTGGTACTGGAATCAGATACACTATGAGACAACGGGTCCTGAAATATGGGAAGATACTCAGGGAAATGTTGACATTTTTGTTATGGGAATTGGAAGTGGTGGCACTGTCTCTGGCGTTGGACAATACCTTAAATCCCAAAACCCCAATGTTAAGGTACCAGCTCCCTATCTGTATTGCTTTGTGGATGTTCATATTCATACCTTAAACTGTTTTTTTCTTTTTTTTTTGTTGCAAAAAAAATAGATTTATGGAATGGAGCCAGCTGAAAGCAATGTACTAAATGGTGGCAAACCAGGTGGATTATGTTAACCTTATCATATTTTTTTG